ACAAATACGAATATATATATATATATATATATATATATATATTGATAGGTACGACGCATTCAATAAGCGTAACGAGAACTGAGACATTAGCCAGAACGAATGACGGCGTCGGTCATTGCAAATTAATGTCCTTCAAAGTGGTTAAAGAGCTTTGCACAACCGGAAGTCGTACGCAAAAGGGGTCCACACAAAAGAGCAGCAAATTTTATGAGTTTCCACGGTAGAATAAGAAATTTAGCACAAAATAATATTACCCAAACACGGACCAGCTGGTTGTCAGAGCGCAGGGTGGGGCAAGCTAGACAGAGCAAATACTGCTGGCTACTGCTGCAGCTATTGCTGCTGCAACTGCTGCAACTGCTACCACTGCTGGCTTTTTATACCCTTCCAGAGTGTGCTATAATTTGCCAATGAAATATGAATTGCAGGATTGCATATATATAAAAAGGTATCTCAGTTAAAGAAATATATTGATGAAATTAAGCATATATTAAGATATGGATAAGGCGTGCGACTGGCACTACTACATTATGTATATGCTATTGGGTTCGGGGGCTTGTTGGACGATTCGAACCAAAGCTTTGCCATACGATTCGGCACATGCGCCTTGTTTTACACATCTATAAACTTTGTTTCGTTTAATTGTTATATTTTTCAATGGTACTAATAAATTTAAAAAGTTATTTATTTATCCCAAAGAACTTAGGAATTGTTTAGTTAAAATTTGTAATATAAACAAAGCCATTTAGGAAATATCTGCTTGGGACTGAGCTCCTCTTTATCCAAATTATCCATTAAAAGGTTCGTTTTATTCTTAATAAAAAAAAATCCAACCCACTCGGTTCAGAAACGGTTTGCAGAGGTGATCCTTTATAAATAAAACAATTATTATGATCAAAATGCTTTCCAAATTCGAGCGAAATTCTATATTATGCAGCTGCGATGGGCACAACCCATTAATAATTGAGTTTTAATAATACAAAGCGAACTTTACTCAAAATGACTGGTACATATATGGCGCATATGGCAAGAGTTAACTCCATTTTAAGAATAAATCTTTTAATTGGATTATAGCATATTTGTGTCTAAAATCTTATCAACAGATGTAAACCGACCAATCACATTATGTAGCGTCCATCGTAGCAATTTTTCCAAATGAAGTTCTTGTTAAGACCTAATCAGCTCGTGCAGCTGTCTTATAAGGTATTAAGTCTTCGGTTGCTCGAAGATGAATGTGCCTTCTGGCTCGGTGTTGCCATTAAGTGCAAAAGGATTTTTATTCCTATGCGCATCCTGTGCATAATACACTCGCATCGACACACGCAAAACTCATTGGCATTGTGTTGCGTGTGTGCGTGCATTGTGTGGTTGTGTGCAGCTCTTCAATCTACTATGGTCGCTCTCTCTCTCTCTCTCTGTCTCTCTTTGCCTCTATCTATCCCTCTTTTTACACCCATTGAAAATGTGTAAAAAGGGTAAAATGTTTTTGTGTTAATGCACGTCCTAATAAAGCATATATATATTCTTAACCTGCACGACAAGCTGAGTCAATCTAGTCTTGTCTGTTTACCTGCCCTTCTGCCTTCTGTGCGAACGCTCAACGAACGATCTCAAAAACTAAAAAATCTAGAGACTGTCAATGTGGAAGATATATATTCTCCTGAATAAGTTTATCATCTATGTCGATTTTTCCGCCCTATTTCATAAAATCGATATTTATTGATTTGGAAGTATTTTACTATATTTCACTACCCAATTTCTCTTCTCATAATAAACAAATTTTGAGACATGTTTTAAAGGCAATTCGAATATTATTGGGCTAGATAAGCTCAACTTTGTAGGTTGGTTCACTTTCACTTTTTAGATACCTCTACCATATATTTCCAAAATAAAAAAAAACTTTTTTTTGTAACCTGGAGCTTTGCAATACACATAAAGTTGGGCGCCCTATTTAAGCCAGAAAAATTTCATAAAGATGGAACTTCATAGTCGCAATTTAGGCAAAAATGCATATCTCAAGTGTGAAAATAAGGAAAGAAGAACCAAAGCAGCTCCATATGTGTGCATAGAAGAAATGCGTTTGTATAGAAGATATACAGAATGCTTGTAAAGACAGTTCGTTTTTGGGTTCAGGGTGTCTCGTAGTCGAGCATGCCCGACCGGCGCAGAGTTACTTGTGCTGTGTTTGCTTGTGTTGCAAGGATATGCCAATTTATTGCACACACGAGTGCATTAGAGTGCCAGGCCCCGTCTTTGGGTCTGCCCGCCCTTTGCCGCTGGCAAAGTTTTTGTGTTCATTTGGAGATTGTGGCTGCTGCATGTCTGGCAGAAATTACTTAATCCTTGCGGTTTTTTGGAGCGGCAAGTGCAACTCCTCAGCCCACTGACCCTTCCGCTGCACATTAAAGCAATTGTAATTGGCATTTGATGTTGTTGTTATTGTTGTTGCTGCTGCTGTTGTTACTGCTGCTGTTGTTGTTATGTAAGCCGCACTCGAAATTATTTGCCCTTTAAGTTGCCCCGAGCCTCGACTGTCCACATTGTCTGCCTCAAATAGCCTCCGGGGCTTATGCTGCACTATGCCTGACAGAGCAAAGTTAACGTGGCGTCTTTAAATATTTGCACCGTCCGATGCTGGAGTTTGCTTCGACAGGCATTTTTATTGCCCCACGGGAAGCGAGAATTCCTTTCAGCAGCATGCGTCTTGTTTCCTGTTCGACTGCAGCCGCTGCAGCTGCTCTTCCCTTTTTAGCGCCGCCCGCTGGCTGCAACCCGCTGAGTTGCATTCACATCGCAGATTACATATAAATTATCGCTTAATAGCCTTTTCACTCTGCTCTCTGTTGTGGCTGCTTAGTTTGCTGGCTTGACAAAAGTTTTGACTCATCATTTTTCATTTTTATAGAAATAAATTCAGTGTATCGCGTTCGCTTACGACATCATGCGCCTACTTATGTATGCCATCTATATTTAAGAGGAATCGAACTGTGAAGCTGCAAAGCAGCAGAAGCTCTCAGTGTTGGCAGCTCCAAATGGCATCTTGGATGCCGAGCATTAAGGCCTGATGACCACAGTAAAAAGGCTGTTTTACCGAATATCAGAGTAGCTTTAGCTGCAGCTGTAGGTATTCCGCCCAAAGCCAAGTTGTAGTAGCACAGGGTATATCACCTACTAGTGACACTTTAGGCTGTGAAAATTTGTCAAGTCAATTTCATAACCTTACGAATACTTTGAACCTATTGTATGAAAGCTTACTAAAGAAACCTGCAGATACCTTTTCAATTTGAATCAGCCGTAGATGTATGACTTTCACTGGCAGAGCTTTAAGATATTATATACTATGGCAGATAGCTATCTTCACAATGAATAACAAGTATTAATTCTGGTTCTCTCTCAATCAACAAAGTTGCTTCCCCTCAAGTCATAACTGTATATTGGACATGGGTTTTCAACAAGAGTTTTCTGCGATATTCCCAGATTCTTGCCCTGAAGTAAGTTGGGAAATAACATTCTCAGTTTTTCCGAGTCTATCGCACAAATATATGGAGGCATCTCATTTTTCAGCTGACCAGGATTATACTTATAACACTTCCTTAAGGCTAACAAAACATGGAAGAGTATTTGATTGAAGTTCCGTACGAATATGCGAGGAATCGTCCCCAAAAACCTCCAGAGAATCGTGTGCGTATGTTAATCACTCGAGATTTCAGATTTGTCAGATGCTTTCAGGACTTTTCAGGCCAGACATTTTCGGGACTTTCGTATGTGATGCAGCGGCTGATACTTAACAGTGTGCTGCGTGCTGTAAGAAATAACCAGCAGCCAAATAATGCGAATAAAAAATTAAATTTGAGCCGGAAATGAAGAGCAATCCCTTTAAATGCAAACAGAAACAAAAATCAATCTGGGCCTGTCAAGAGCTGTAATTGATATGCAATCTGAGTGTTTGGGGTGTGTGCACGTGTGTCTGCGTATGTGTATGTGTGAGTGGCAGTCTGGGGTGTTGCTGAATGTATTCGAATGCGGTTGAAGGGGCGGTGAATGTAGGTGGGGCCATTAACACATGCTCCAGCAAACACCCAGAGCGTTGCCGGGCGCGCATTTTTGCAGCCACAAAATTGTGTATGCAAAAAGGAATTGCAATTGAATTCATTGAATTCGATTTTAACATGAAATAAAAAGTAAAAAGTCGAGATCGACCATCCGTTGGGATATATGAGGTCTTCCGCAAACGATCGGGCAGTCGGTGTACGACTTTGAGATGCTCTATGTAGACTTATCTTTGGATATATAAACAATTGTGGGGCAAGAAGGACTTAAATACTTTTGTTTATGTAACGAATTTTTCTGAATTCCTTTGTTCTTTGCAATTTATTAAATAACAGTAAAAATTTGTATATATCTTTTCTTAAATTAATTATTTTACGTGCAACACAAGAAGTAGTTTCTATAACTATTGATTCAATTATTTTGGCAAATATTTCATAACAACGTTGTAGACACATTTTCAAATCTCCTATCTTTCCACAAGAAAGCTTCTATCCAAAATTGTATATCCTCAGTTTTTGCCACTCAAATGCACGTTTGGGACCAGTCATCAATCAGCCAATCAATCAATCAATCAAACAGTACAAACACTTTAGTAGTTTTTCATAAACTATCGAACTAATAATTATAATTATAAGAACAAAATTAGTAACAGTACATTTTCCACTATCTAATAATAACTCATAATCTAACAGATACTTACTGTGTTATATGCGTGTATCTTTCAGATACAAACGTATCTTTTTGCGCTTGTGGGACGAATATGCTCATAGCGCATATGACCCATACATGGCATATAAAAGAGGAAGAGGCCAATGGCATAGTTAACGGCAATTTTGTGGTAACGGGCTTTTGCGCCACCCTGTGGGCGTGTTGGGCATGCAAATGCAACTTTTATGGCTGCAATTGAGTATGAAGTGAAAAACTAGCGCGTCGCTTGCATATTTATTGATGACTTTTAATTGTGTATTGCATACGCATACTTACAGACTATTTACACAGTTTAGCTTGCCGCGTCTTAAATTAGGTTGATTTATCTGTACTTATTTTTTTCTTCTTTTTCTCATAGTGATGTACACACATGTGCATAATACACACACATATCAGATATAATTTTAGTTGTAAATTCTCACGTGCATTTCAGTTGCTTAAAGCTAGAAAACGGTTTACAAACAGAACAAAAATAAAAACTGAATTAAATGTGAAAACTAACGGTTGCAGCTGTTGTTGCTGTCGTTGCCGCTGCCGTCGCCATTTTGCAGCGCGTCAACTTCCGTCCGCCATATTGAAATGTCAGCGGCCTGAAGAGCCACTGCGTGCCGATGACGGCCACCGCTGCGGTTGTCGCGGCCAATAGTAGCTGAGCGCTGAGCAAAGCGATGCGGGGTGCAGCTAAAAGGCATGGGGAAAGGGGGAAAGAATACGGTTGCAATTATATTTATTTGTATTGTAAATTGTCCAAATATGCGACCGCTGTCAGTGGATATTTGAATGTGCATTCATTTTTAATTAGCAGTCGCCACATGTGCGCATCACTTTAGTGGGCACTGTAATTGCGGTCGCATGCATTAAGCGCCCCACCCACTCCACCGTCTGTTCCGCTTCCACTCACCCGACTTGAACTGCTTCTGGTTCTTTAGATCGATGTCATCCCGAAAGAGCAGCGCCTGCATACTGGTCTCCCGCGTCAGTTGCGGATAGCTCTCGATCTCGGCGACGCAGCGCAGCTCGAGACTCAGACGGGCCGGCGAAATAACGCGCAGTTGTTGTTGTTTCTGTTGCTGTTGTTGCTGCTGCTGTTGTCGCTGCTGCAGCAGTTGCTGCAATTGCAGCTGATGAAAACGCGGATCGTTGGCATAAAAATTGAGCTGAGACACGATCCGTCTCAGATTGTAATCGTGCGCCGCAATTGTTGTCTCCACGCTGGGCTGCAGATCCACCTGGGACGCCTGCAAGACAAATCCACGTTAGTATGTGTAAGTGTGTGTGTGTGTGTGTGTGTGTGTGTGTGTGTGTCATGTACCCAATTACCTTGACGCCATTTATATACCAGCTGATCGTGGTCAAGAGACTTGAAAAATCTGTGCTGCAGTTGACCTGCACGAAATCATCGAAGCGATACATCGAGTGAAAACTGCTGATAAGCGGATTGTTTTGGGGCAGTGCTAGAAAAATAAAGCAAACTTTTAGCTTAACATATAAAGAAATATATATTGTGCATTAGATAGAGAATGTTAGGGTGATAAGACATATGTATTTATAAATTGTTATTAAAATTATTACAATTTATAATTATTAGTGCATGCAGATGACGGATTAAAGATATATCATTGTAATACTGTAAACTCCCGTTTGTGGTACGATGGAGAAAATAAGTTTAGAGTAAACTTATTTTTAAATTTATTTTCTTGAAGCATTTTAAGGATGAGTTTATGTTCATATGACTTATACCTTATATGTATATATGATATGCGCTATAAAAGGTATATTCTATTAAAATCTAAAGATGAAAATCGGGACTTAGGCAGGCGAAAAACTTGAATTGGAAAATTGGGTTCTGCATTCGATCGGTTGGAAGCTATGAAAAATATAAGTAAAATTTAAAATGTGTGGAAATGAAATAACACTTTAAATCAATACCCTTGGCATGGGCAAGGCCGGGACACATTCACAAGTAAATGTCTAACTAAATACAAATGTAATATTATCTATAAAAAAGTTAGGAGAAGTGCATTAGTGACAGTTTGAAGGCTAATATTAAAGGTGCATTAAACATGTAAATTTTGCAGCTGGTTGGCCCAGTTGATTCCCCTGTTGCTAACATCCTTCCCTCGGCTCTAACCGCCGCCCCCGTCCGCTGCCCCTGTTGCTAATGCTGTTCTTGCGAATAAATACAGAGCATTCTTTTTGTTGTTTATTTAACAACTTCTCTATTTGCTTTTGATAAATTTTTAAAAATATTTCAGCAGCGAGCAGCGGCTCCCATGTACTACGCAGCGCATCTACAAGATATTTATTTTATATCAGCGAAAAAATAGATGATCATAAAACACATGCACAGTGAGAGCGCAGGCACCACTAGGACGCGCTGAAACATCCTGCTGTGTGTGTGTGTGTGGGCAAAAGTAAAAGCGAAAATAAAAACAAGAAAAACGAGCACACATACACATACACTCACACACACACATAAGCAGACATCCGCCTGTACATGTATGGCTGGCAGCAGGGACGAGGCGTGTGGCACGGGGCACTCGGCAGCGGAGCTTTTCATTTTAGCGATATCCTTTTTAAGCATAAAGTGCTGCCGTAAATCACAGAGGCGCACACCAACACACAGGCACACACACACATATGGGCCGCACACCCGCAGACTCGAGGCAAGCAAGCGCGATTCCTGTGCGCTATTCCAGCGTTCCAGCTACGGAGTGTGTCCGTGTGTGTGTTAGTGTATGTGTGTGTGTAGCTAGGGATGCGAATCACATGCATCTCTTGGTTACATTTTATGAAAACGTTCGGCTTGCCGCTCGCTGCTCGTTGGTTCTTGTGCGAATACATCCTGCTGCCGGGCTGCTTATCCTGTGCGTGTAACTGGCTGGCCGTTGCATGCGGCACGTTGCACGCTGTTGCAGCCACTTTGGCCCGCAGTCAGCATATATGCAAAAGGCGCTCTCGCACTGCTCTGCATGTTGCTTGCAGTTTTCTTCGCATGTTGTTTACCATTAAAATATCACGGAAATTACACATTTTACTTGGTTTATGCTGTGCGGCAAGCGCAGCGGGCATTGCCGATGGATAGCGGCAAAAATATTTGCATTACATATGCGTCCACACACACATACAAATATAGACACACACAAACCCACACACTCGCACACACACGCACACACACATTCGCATGCATTTTAATTTAAGACAAACAACTGAAATTTCATTTTATTACGTATCCGCACCGTTGGGCGCTGAAATCTTACCCTCAACGCTCATGTTGGCCGCACGCGCTGTTAGTTTAAAGTGGGGCGCATCGCCGGACACTTCACACCTGTAGACGCCCGTCGATTTGATGCCCAATAGATTGAGATCCACACGACACGAGGACTCATTGCATTCGTAGCTATTATCGATCAATTGAATGCCCTGCACGGGAAACTTACGGAAAACGGTCTGCATTAGCGGCGCATATCTATAATATTATTTTTTTTTTGTTTTGGGAATAGAAGCAATAGCAAAAGCGTTAGTTGACCCCAAAAAGGGTTGGCTTTGAGTGGTTCCAAATTGGCCGCAAATTGTGCCAGCTGCCATTTACTGTCCTCTTTTGAGGGGCCTGCATGGTCAGCTGATAATCGGCCCAAAAGGCACGCTAAAAGCTTTCGAGCCATAAACGAAACGAGGCCAGGAAATGGAGATTTTGCACACAAGTGGCTTACATGCACTCAAACACAGCCCGCTCTCTCTGTGCGTCTGTACGTGTGTGTGTGTGTGTTTGTGTGATTTCTTCAATTTGTTTTGTATTGTAGATTGTTGCTCATTAATCCCTCAAATACATATTGAATCTATCTGTAGAAAAATCTACAACAAAAGTGTTCAAGTGGAAAACTTGTTCAGCGCTGAACAACAAAAGTGGCTTCAGCACATAAATAAACAAGCTCTGGCTAAGTAAAATGTGGTTCGACTGGCGAATACCCTATTTATTATACACTGTGGCTTTATGGTGTTATCTGTATTTTCTATTGACACCCATTTCATTTAGTTTTGTATGCTCTATTACGCCATTTCACTGGGTATAAATACTTAAGAGGCAGTGCGGCAGGGGCTGGGGAAATTCCATAGAAATGCTCTCAACTTTTGTGGGCTGTTGTGGTGTTGATAAGTCGCATTGTACGCTGCTTGTTAATAGCTGTTAGCCAGCGTTTGTTGCTTGTCTAAGGCCGGGCAGGAGCATACTCAGGGTGGCAGGCGGACGGGGCTCGAATTATTTGCGGCTTAGACGCCGTCTGCTGCGGCAGCAAATCAACAAATTTGATAAGCAATATAAACTGGCTCTCCTCCTCTTGTTGCGCTCGATTTGTGGTTGTCGGCCTGGCTCGTTACAAGGGATTTCGTGGCAGCTATTACAGTCGGTGTTCTGTGTTTAATGCCTAAGTTTTTCCCATACTTGCTGTGCAAAGCCAATAAATACTCGCCTTAACTAAGTATTAAATAAACTACATGGATATATGGGCTAAGGGCAGCAGATCTTGGCAAAAATAATTACGTTTTAATTTACTTTATTTGTTGATTAATAAGATTTATAGCGCATACAAAGGAGGTCGGGCGAGATCACACTGTACTCTAAAGGCCAAGGTAAAGTTTCGCCTCATTCATAGCCTTCAATACAGAGCGAGCCAAAGGGCAGCTTAGCAGCGAGAAACACACCTGCCCCAGCCTATCTTCTGTTAAATGAATGAATCTCTGCAAGCCTGCGATTAAAGCTCAGCTCTGTGTCTTAAGTGATCATCTAGGGTATTAGCATATGCTTAATATGGCTAAACTGTTGTATACACAAATCGAAATGCAGTCAAAACTGACAGAAAAGTTAACACAGAAAGAGGTTGGCAAATAATATACATCTATGTATATATATATATGTATATAGATATATATATATGTGTATATATATATATATGTGTATATATATGTATATATATATATGCTGTACACACCGAAAATACAATGCTCGCGCTCTCCTCCTTAAAAAAAAGGCCGCCAATTGAAAGTTACTTTGCCTGCTGTGCGAAAATTATTAGCTTTGAGCCAATTTTGGCGCTGTTTGTGCTTCATGCAAAAAAAGTTCATATAAATATATATATTGCGCATGTTTCAGCCTTTCAAAGTTTTTGTTTACATTAATTTGCAGTTGCATTACAAGTGCAAGTAAAATTGCAATTGGCTACAGTTGACTTTTCACGTGCAGCGGCTGTTGCTGCTGTCTAATTAAAACTTTCGCTTAGCATGCAGCCCCCTTTTTACTTACTTGGGGTTGCAGGCATATGTGTCTGTGTGTCTGTGTGCCTGTGTGTGTGTATGTGTGCACAGCACCTAAGCGTTACTCATTCTCATTTTTAATTAAGCAAAACGCGAAGCAGTCACTTGAGATTTTTCATTACGCTGCAGTGCAAATACTCGCATGCTAACATACACATATATGTCGATGTGGGTGTATATATGTATGCATGTGACTGAGTTTCATCTGATGCTGCTAATGATTATGACTCATATGAGGCAATATATTAATGATGCTGAAGTCTGTGCCACTCTCGATTGCACATTTACCATTTGAAGTGGTCGTCCTGAGGTCAAATTGGCATTTAATAATCATTTTGGTTGGCTTCTGGCCCAGCTCAAGAACAGATACCAGCTCCTATGGCAATTAGTTGGCTTTCTTGTCGCCTGTCTGGCGACTGCCACTGCTACTGCCAACAGCTGTGGCATAAATATTACATGCCGCATACGTGTAAAGGTTGAAATACGCAAGTGACTGATGGCTGTTGCCGAGCCACACGACTAAAAGCCTATAAACCCAAAACGGGGGCAACCACAACAGAGTATTTCATATGGTAGGACATTTAAATTAATTTGCCATAGCATAAACGAACCAACGTAAATTAATTTATTTAATAATTCATTAGGCAAGAAAGTCGCCTGACAATGAACATATTTATGTGGCGAATGTGTGTGGGGTGTGGCGGGTGTGTGAGGTGTCTGTGTGTGGGGTGTGTGGGTGTAACTGAGAGTGGTTATGACTACGAGCTGGCGCTTCGCCCAGGGCTATGGCACGGATTTCGATGCATTTGACAGCTGCGCAGCCTCGCAAAAATAACAAAATAAATATCATAAATTATAAACACACACACACGCACAGTCTGTCTGTTCGTAGTGAGAGTGTGTGCGCACGCGTGTGCTTGTGTGTTTACTTACCTAAAAAACTCGCTGTCGTTTTTGTACCACTTAACCGAATTTAACGTGTGACCACTTATGTCATAGCTGCAGGATAATGTCACGTTATCACGAAAATCAACAATTTCTGGCACATTGATGTCAGTCACAAGTAGACACTGAATGCGTCGCATAGCTGCCACAAGAGAGAGAGAGAGAGAGAGCGTATGAGTGAGTTGGAATACGTGAGGTAAACACACAGCCAGCAGCAGTTGGGTGCGTTATTCGATAAAAAAAACGTCAGATAAACTGATGAAAAATGTCATAAAAATGCTGTACAAAATATAACGACACAAAAATGTTTTGCATTTGCCAGCTTTAAAATTGTAAATGTGCGCGCGTGTGTGTGTATATATGTGTGTGTTTGAGTGGCGCAAATAAAACTGCATCAGAGATTATGATCGTGGTATAAAGAATAATTTCAGGTTGAATTGTATGAATATGTATGCAAATGTTGGGCCAAATGCTAATTGCAGCTGTGTGCATTTGGGTTATTTCAATGTTAAAGCTTTCAAAGTATTTGCATTTTTTCTTAAACTTTGTAATCCGTTGTTAGAAATAATTATATGTATCAGTGGGATGTGTGATATTACATTGCATGCACAGCTGACCATCTGATATCTGATATGCTTGCTTGCAAGGGCATCTCTTAAATATTAATCAATCGTCTTTCTATGCGATTCTCATGGCCACAAGTAACATCACTATGTTACTATTCTTTTTTACTTGTATGATAGGAAACATAGTAAACATTTTCATTGCCAACATGAATTTGTCTTTATGCATCTACTTGTAATACCAAAGAGAAAAGAAGTAGAAATATTCCCACATTGTTTCTTTCTCTGTTTAATAACAATGTCTTTCACTCTTTTGCCTTTTGTCCGATTTGATCAGTTGTTTGCTTAATCTTCTGCATTCTTTTTGTAAATTCATTCTTTATCGCTCTTGTTATTTGTGTTACTCGCTCTTACTCTTTGTTCCTTTCTCATTCTTTTACTTCCCTTGTTGCTAACTCTTACAGCCAGAATACTTCAACTAATGAAAATCGCATAGAAAGGCGACACACAGAATATGTGCTTCATTATGAAATAAATCAAAATAATGCTTAAAATTTAATACTTTTTAATTGTTCAAATGGATAAGCACATTAGTTACAAAAATTTAAAGTAAATGTTTGTGGAGACAAATTAATATAAAAAGAAATTAAGCAAAACTGGCAGACAAAATGGGAAGCAGACAAATTTGCAGCACAAAAAACTGACGCACAACTTCTAATTGAATGAACTTGTAAAAATGCTCAACATCTGAAATGACACAGCAAAAAAAGAAAAAAAAAATAAAAACGGGAAACGAAAAAGGAAAACAACAAAGAGTGCTAAACGTTTTTATCCAGCAACAACAGGAAGAAAACCGCGCGTGGGTTTCACAATTTGTGGAACGCTTTTAAGTGCAAACAGACAGCTGAAAAGGAAATGGCAGCAACAAAAAAAGTGGTTAATATCATTAGCTGCATTTATTGTTGTTGTTGTTGTTGCTGCTGCTGTTAGTGGGGCAACTGCTTATTGCAACTCTGCTCCTTGCCGAGCGAACGCGCGAAAAGTTGTCGGAAATTTCCATAATCTTGGCCATGTCGCTGCACAGTTGGCGAATCGGAGCACTATGCTGCATGATAAGCAACAATTTAATGCCAAGCAAGGACGACAATTTGCAACTTGTCTGCATAATTTTTGTTGCCTGCAAATGGCATTAGGCAACAGCGGCAGCAACAAGCAGCAGCAGCAGCACTCGTGAATTTAATTTGTTGCACTTTACAGTTGGAATAACTCGAGGTGTGGCGGCAAAAAGTTGAAGAGCGCGTTAGAGAGAGAGAGAGAGATAGAGAGCGAGAGAGACAGATGTTGCTGGTTTACTTTGCAGCAGCCATCAAAATTCTTAAAATTGTTTTCAAAAAAAAGATTACCTTGTGGAATGGCAAATATTTTCAGATATATATTTTTAAATATCGCGTGGCAGATTGCGGTCGGGTTGTCTGTCTATGAAATCGGAGCTTTTTATTCTGTTTTATGCATTGTCAATGGCAGCAAACAAACTGAAAACTTGTTTAAAGTTTCAATAGACAAACAAACAAAAGTGCCTCACTGACGACAAAGAGGCGGATCTGCCTCAGGCAAGCCATGCACGCTGCGTGCCGCATGCTGCAAGCCGAGTCTGAGTGTGACACGAGTCTTTTGAAGCATGTCAAAGCTGCTGACTAGCAGTAACATGAAACAGCAGCAGCAGCAACAACAACAACAGCAACAACAAAAACTATAACAACGACAACGGCAAACACATTTGCAAATGGCAGCGGCAACCGCAGCTTAATGACAGCCCCACAACATACAAACACGCACACTCACAAACACATATTCAACCGAGGGGTGTGCGGTGTCATGGGGACATATTGGGAAAAGTTCACCTGCGTGGCAAAAGGCATGACAGCTGTATCTGTGACCAAGAAAGCGAGGGTAAGTATGTGTGTGTGTGCCTAGTGTTTATGCACAGTTAACTTCTGGGTTACGCCCTAGTAATACCCTTAATAAATATATTGTACCTAATTATTTCAAATTTATTAATTTATTGTTAAGGATGAAAGAATAGGTTTTTAAATATTTTTTTTATTGTACTATATTATGAGTATATATTTTTTTAAATACTTAATATATAACTATGTTATTCTATATTAAAATTTACATTTTTTTATTTATGTATATATTTTATTTATGTAAATGTTAAATATATTATTAAATATTAAAATATTAGTATAAATTATACGTATATATTTATTTTACTATATTATTATATACATATATACCCTTGAAAAATATAATAAAATAAATATAAAATATATATATATATATATATATATATATATATATATATATATATATATATATATATATATATATATATTTATATATATTCAACAACATAATTAATCATTAATATAGTTTATTAAAAGCTGTGCTCCTTTTTATAACAAAAGAATTGATTGGTAAAGCAGCAAAAGAATATATGTAAGCTTTAAGGAATGCAAAGTGACTCAAAATCATAAAACTTTAAACTTTTTAATAGTCTTAAGCTCGGTAATCATATACCGTGTGTGATTAAAAACTCACTAAGGAAAATAAAACAGTCTCAGCAAATACTTATACTCATTCAATCTCACGTAAACACAGAAGTCTAAGACCTCTTCTAAAGAAATGAATTGTAAGATATATATGTTATATATCGGATCATTATACCTCTCCCTTAAACAAAAGTTATGACATGCCCAGCTAGGGTATTCAAATAGGTACAACAAATACAAGCAAGGCAACTTTTTGCACGGCAATCAACGCACTTGAGCAAAGTTTTTGCTGCCTCAATTTGATTGTTGCTCTTGCTGTCAACTGTCTGTGTGTGTGTGTGTGGGTGTATAGGTAACTACGGCAGCTTGTCTGCTGCTTTGTCTGTTTGCTTGGCTGATTGTTGCACAGCTGTTCGCTTGTGGCTTACAACGTGGAAGCCGCAGCACGAGGCACGCAGCTCGAAGCAAGAAAAGACGATATTTCCCTTAGCCATGAAAATGCCTAAAGAAAGTCAAGAGAGCCGTCCTCTTTATTTTTATTTTTTTTGTCGTGAATTTTATTTAAAGCATGCAGCGCATAGTTTCTGCGCTTGACTCCATGTTGACTGGATAATGCAAATTGTCTGCCCTGAAAAGTAGGCAACACAAAAGTTGCTCTGCTTTGTTGTCGCCGCTGTTGTTGCTGTTGCTGCTACTTTTGTTGTTGTTTTTGCTGCTGCTGCTGGCTGCTGCTGCAGATTTAGCCAATTTAAATCTGGCTAGAACCGTTCGCTGCTTACGATAAACGCCAGAGCAGACAAATCTGCACGGGCCCAGGCATAAAGAAATACCAAGCATCTATAATTTGCATATAAATGCGACAACGCTTCGAGCACCACGCAGTCGTCCGAGCGGTTGTTTGTTTTGGGTTTGAGTTTTTTTCTAGCATATACCCTGTACACTAGCATAGGGTGTATTGGTTTGGCGCCACACGGGCAGAAGGTGCCAGTTCGGTTGGGTCTTCGAGACTACAAGAGCTGTGGAAACCAGCTTCTCTCACTCATTTCTGTCAAGAACAAATTTGAAATTTGTATAAGTCATGGCTGTGGTAGTAAATGCATAGTTGCCTGTGTGTGTATGTGTGCTTTCGTCTATTTATATATAAAAGTAAATAATAAATATGTAGCTTGCAGCTGCTTACAGGGTATCTTCTCGCCTTTCGACTTTAACGTAATTCTTTCTTTGGCTTTTAGCTGGGGTTCAACTTGTGGCAGGCGAACACAAATAAAGATGCTAATCTCTCTAAAGCATAGTTGTGCCACAACAACAACAACAACAACAACAACAAAAATTGAGCAGCTAAATGGCATACAAAAAAAGCTAAAATAAATAGACGTAGCTGCTGTCTGCTAGAACTGAGATTCCTTAGCTGCTGCTGTTGCTAGTTGTTGTTGTTGCTGTTGTTGCTGCTACTGTTGTTGTTGGTATTTTCTTTAAAATCCATTTGGTATGCAGCAGACATAACAACAACAACAGCTATGCAAAACATCAAAGTTTAAACTTGATTTTGGGTGCGGCTGTTTGGCTTTGCTGCATGCCACGCAGCCTTACTGGCCTCAGATACTGGCTGCACATTAGTGCCAGTTTTTGGCCACATGACAGTTGGTTAGCCACTCCCACCAAACAATTTACAAGAATTTACAATAAAAAACCAACACTCACACACACATGCACGCACAATTGCAATTGTGAGACGGGAGCGGCGCGGGGCGTGTCTTCGACTCGAACAAACATCATTTACTTTTGCCACCCAAATCACACACTTAATAAAATTGAAGACACTTGTAAAATAGGCAATTTGTTTAAATAAACTTTATGGCACTTGAGGCAAGGGTCTGAGCGGCCCAACTGTCAGCAAGTCAGCTCCCTCGCTGCCTCGCTGACTCTCTACCCTACCACACCGCCGTCTTGCCAACGCCTTGGCCAGGCACTTGTAGCCAAATATTTATTTTCTTGGCATGTCCTTGCCAGAGACATACTTCCCGCCTTATTCACTCTTTGGCAGTAAATTTTAAAAGCGTCTATAAATTTTAGAAAAGTGCAAATAAAATATAGCGCAAGTTTTTATGCCTGTTGTGTGTGTTTATGTGTGTGTGTGTGTGTGGGTAAATCCTTTAAGGCGTACTCCAAAATAAAATTGTCACATTTATGTTTCCTTTATGTAAATTTTTTCTCTCGTTGCGCCTCTCTTGCTGCTGCTTCGTCTGCCATTAGCCTGCTGTTTGTCAGCCTTGGCGTGGAATGTCCTTCGAATACTTGAAGCTAGCCTAGAAAATTTTTAAACAATACCTTCAAAAAACTATGCAAATTTCTCTATTTGTGTGTTTGGTATTCTGTTTTTTGCTCACATTTGAATTGATTCGCTTTTTATGCCGCAAAATTCTCCACTTTGACATGCTTCACATATTCTTGCTAATCTTTTTGCAAATATTTATAGATGTTTTTCCCAAAAGAGAATGCCGTTATCTTTGGGATTATCTAGTTGACTTATCCCTGTAGATAATAAAGAATTGCACGAATATATTTTCGAGTTCATGAAGTAAATCAATGCTAAAAAGTTTTTGCGCTTATTCAGGCATGCATTTGTTTGGCTTGGTTGGAGTATATTAAAAAGAAATATGATATTTAACAAATATTTTTCGTTTGGGATGTACATAATATAGTGGTGCGATGAGATAGATATATACATTTATATATAGGGCCTCCAATGCCATGGATCTATGGCAAGTTTATGTTTTAGCTTTACAAGCAAATAAACTTTGCGGACGTGTAAATAATTATACGATTTTATTTTTTTTTTTATATTGGATGCTGGTAATATAATAATATAAACATTTTATAGAAATAAACACTCACTCTAGACATTCATCTAGAAATAAATTAATAAATGTACATGTATGATATGTCCTGAGATTATTTAATGTCCTTATTTTTTCTTTTATTTTCTATTTTAATCCTTTTTCGTATGGGAAATACTTTTCCACAATATCAAAGCTAGCCTTGATAAAAAAAATAATGACAGCAACAGAATATAATATATAAATATAAGCAACAGAAAACATTAAGGGGATGGGACCAACACTTTAAACCGGGCTTAATTACCGGCTTCTATTGCTAAAGTATTCTATTTGCAAATAAAGTGAGGTCTATAATTTGTATGATATAATTATAACATAATATTGATAATATTAATAATAAAAATAAAAAATATTATTAATGACATGAATAATAGTAATAATAATAATAATAATAATAATAATAATTATAGTTAATTAATAATAATAATAATATGAAGAATAATAAAATTTAAGTATATTTAAAATAACAATAATAAAAAATATAATAATAATAAAATTAATTAAATAATCAGAATGAAAAAACAATGATAAAAGTACAAATATCTATCCTACCTCTTTTTAAAAGCGCAAGCCGAAATTTTTTCAAAGGATTTTATGTATTACAGACAATATAAAATTAATATATCTTATAATAATACTAGTATTAATAATAATAATAATAATAAAACTACTAATATTAGCATTGTTACTTAGTCTTAAAGCGTGAAATACCTTAAAACCGAAATGGTATATTTGTATATGAAATATTTTATACTCTTTAGGCATTCCAGTTGACATTTGTCAGGTCTGCTTGACAAGTGAACGTTTTAACTTTTTTTTTGTATATTTTATTTTATTTATTTTCTTTGTTTTTTGGTTGCTGTCTTAAAGTTTGTTTTTACATAAGTTTGCCATGTTTTCTTTGCTGTCAGCTACCGTATTCGCTTGGAGTGCAGACAAATTGCTCTGGGAACATGGAAAAATGTTGGAAAAGCGCAAAAGTGACACACACCGAAGCGCAATTGAAAAATCCAATTACTAATGCATTTTGGCCAGCTGCATTTGAAACGGAATGCATTTGGTTCCAAATTGCGACCTTCACTTTAATGCTGCAACATTAAACTAATGTTGATATAAACATTTAAAATAAAATAATTGTCATTTTAATGAGATTTATGGGCGACTTTTTGGCGATTGGAGTTTCATAGCGGGTTAGGCACAATAATTGAAAGTGTATTTAAAAAACAATTTAGTGGCATGAAATTTGCATACATTTTTGCGGTCTCGCCCAGTGCCATATTTACACACGCACAACAACAACAAAATAACAACAACAATAAACGGAACAACAAACACATTTATTGCTATGCTAATTTCTGAGTTTGGGTCAGAACAGCAACAAAAGGCAAGTGCACAAAAGCGCAAAGCGGAAACGGAAATGCCTAAATGACTTTTCATGGTGTCGCAGCTGAAGGGCAGCGGACTAAGGCCAACATGGCGTGCGTATGTGTGTTGTATGTGTGTGTGCGTTTAAGTCAACCGCAAAGTTGGCCACGTCGTCGACTTTGTCGTAAAAAAGGTTGAACAGCTTAAAGGGATTAAAAGCAAAAGGCAATAAAATGAAAAGTTTCAAATATTTTTATTATTATTACCGGTCTCCCGGACCTTGGAGTCGGCTATGCACAAAAGCCTCGACTTTAAAGCTGTATCAGAAACTTACCCAGAAGCATATTTAATATGCCCAGCTGCAGCAGCCAGCGCCCATACTCCATTGCAAACGCGTGTGTGTGTGTGTGTTTGTCCTTTCAGGTCCTTCCTGCCGCCTAACTAAGCCGCAAACGAAAACTTTCCGGCCGGCATATTTCTATATTTGGTCGCACATTCTTTGAACATATTATACTTTGCACTATCGTCTGTTATGATTATGTATATAGTCACTGTATCGACAAGTGCCATTAACAGGCCAACAAATTGAAACAAGCTACGAGTCCTGCTACCTCTTTTTTTTGTGTCAAAATTTTAGCATTCGCTGTTGGCGTTTGGTTTTCTGTTTTATTTTTATATTTTGTCTACTATGTTTTAAGGTTATTAAATTCGAAAAGTTTTTTGGCGTCAAAGTGCGGCGTTCAGTGCAGCACAACGCCCACACGTCCACACACACCCATTCCAACACACGTACATACTACACACACACACACATACACACACATACACATGCATACACATTCATGCAGACAAACACACACGCCATTGTCTCTTGCCTGGCTTATAGAAAGTTAGCTTAGACTTTTGTTTATGTTCTATCGATCATATTTTCGAGTTAATCTATAGAATGGCTGTTAATTGTTTTTAAATTTATAATTTTGTTGAATTAGGTTTTACGAAATCTGTTTCCTCGCTTAGCTTACATTTATAAACATTTTTTGTCAAGCATAGAATTCGACCTGGATCCTCAATTATTATATTCAAACATTTTACACGTCTGCGCTTCTCGACGTGGAAATTGAAAATGATTTTATAAATAACATAAATAATACAGCAAAGATTATAATGAAAAATGGCTATTGCTCTTTGAATTTACCAAACTGTATTTTTATTATATATTTCAATCTTAAACTCTTCCGAAAATTAAGTACACCAATACAGGTTTTAATATGTTTAAATATGTTCAACAAAAGTAAGAATATGGATTTAACACAGTCCCGCTGCACACTCCTTCCAAAATTATAGGGTAGGGTTTAAGGTCTCCTAGTCGACCCAGAAACTATGTCGTTACACTCGAAAAGAAGTTTTTTAAAAGTCTTTTTCTCTGCTGGGCCCTTGCCATTATTTCTAGTCAGCATTAATTAAACAAATCTCTGGGTCACAGGGTATGCACTAGTCGACTTTTTTACACTCCGTAATAAAGTTTATATATTTTTTTTTTAAATATACTTTTTGGGCGCCCATTGCATTTGTTTATTGTCATCGTCAGCGTTATTTAAACGTTGACAGTTTCAAAAAATTTTTTTTTGCCGTGGCCAAAAAATGGAAATGTGGCAGGCGGCAACTTTGTCGCCGGCGATTGTCTGTCTGCCAACTTGCATGGGCCGGTAACAATTGCCATTGCCATCACCAGCACCACTGTCCCGCCTCCATCCCGCCCCCGGTGGCGCCAGGGCCCCCTGCCAATGCTTTCAGCATGCCCCTGTGGGTGCCTGTGGCGCTTCGGGCTTTGTGGCATAAAGTCCTTTAATGCTCTAATCAAATTGTGGCTTCTTTTTGCCAGCTGCCTTGTCGACAACTTTGGCTGGTTGTTGTTGTTGTCGTTTCCGCTCCCGTTTTTGTTGTTGTTGTTTTTGTTGTTGTTGCTGTCATCATTGTTTTGGTTTCATTGACGCGTTTATTAAAATTACCGCGGCAAAGTTTCACGGCAGCATTTTTTATTTTTATTAACAGTAGCGAGCAGCTTGAGCTGGCTTCTTAGTTAATTTGTTTTTCTACTACCTACTAAAAATATACCTTCCAGGGGTGTGGGGATTGCGCCTTGTTAGGTTAGGCTAATTTAATTTGCAATCTTGCCCGGCTCAAGGTATTTTTTTGTTTTTAGGTTCTGTTTGCGTTTTGAAAATCTATTTTTTGGGATAAGATTTATTTGGAATTCATGTATTTTCATAGTCGAGTTATAAATAGAAGAAGTATCGGTAGTTAATCAATTTTCCATATTACTAATTTTGATATTACATGACCTCAAAAGCGTTTTCATTTGTTTTTTATATTGAATGGTTTTAAAAGTTTACATATAAATCAAGAGTGCTCAACTTGGAAGTGCCCGAATAGGAGATACCGTGAACCTGCTGTCCATATTGTTCTAATATTTTAGCTTCCTTCTATGTTTCAAATTCTCTGGGATTTTGGTGCCCGAGCTTAATTTTCAGTGTCTAAATATGTTAAGCAAATATGTGTAAATACCTTTAATCATTTGTTTTTTTTTTGTTATTTAATTTTGTGGTCAATGGATTCGTAATCTGTATGTACCTTAAGAGAAACTGCAAATCAAGTTTGGTGTAACAAGGTTTTATAATCGTCGAGTTATGTATAAAAACCATATCAAAGCGATTAATTTTATATTATGAAAATGCTATTGGAGAGAAAAAATAAATGTGTGCTAAGTATAATATGCGAGAATAGACTTTGAAATTATCAAGTCAATAGTTTTTATAATTTTAGAGTACGACACGTTCTCGCAGCCAATCAGAAGGACATTGATAAGTAGATCGACTCAGAGATCGGAGGCGCATTCATTTGCTTGTTACAAACATTTTCAAAAAACAATTTACCCTTATTTTACACTTATTTTTAAATGTGCAGGGTATGAAAAGGCTGTTGCAATTAATAATCGAGATTCAGCCTCTATTGAACTGTCTCTTTAAACAATGTTAATTTAATTTATTAATATTTTTGCCCCTCCCGCCACTTAATTCGAAATCAGGTCAAATGCAAATTGACAGGTGCTCAATGACAAACAAACGTTTGACAGTTAAATGAGCCGAATAAAGCCCATTTGTTACATGTAAATTTACATAAATACATACAAATACACACACATATATTTATTTATATGTGCATGTTGTTGGTGAAAAATTGAGCATACGCAACGTGTGACTGCCACAGGTTTGATGCTTATGTGCTTGAGCGCAATGCTAAGCGGCAAGAGCAAAGCACAATGCACACATACACACACGCAGACACACACACAGCTTAACAGCTATGCTCGAATCTAAGTTAATTACTTAATGGCTATGTAATGCACAGGCATTTAAATAATTAACAAACATTTCATTGACTGGCGTAACTGACACACACATACACCCGTACACACACAGACACGCACACACACAGCCTCTTAAAGCCACTCTGAGTTCATGGCACAGTTTGTTGGCCTTTTGAAATATTTATTTATACGCCTTGCGCAACAGTCGGCTGTTGTGCTTATTTTGTTTTTTTTCCCTGCGCCTGCATTTGCATAAATGCATAATTTTCCACACATACACACACACTCGCACTCATACAGGCACACACATGTTTGTAAATCGTTTGTTATTTTTTTGTTATTTGCCTTTTACGCGGTTTCGTCGCTGTCGCTTTTATTGCCACCCGTCCGCACTGCACGCACGCACGAACGCACGCACATACCGTGTCACACAACAGTTGCCGTCTAACTGACGCGCCACGGCTTTGGCCACGGCCGGCTGGCAACTTTTGATGCGGCTGCTGCGGCAGCGACGTCAGCAAGCCAAGTCGCCGATATGTAAAATCCCTGTCCTGGATTCCTTTGCGGTGTTCGTGTGTGGCCGCTGGCGCTGACGCCGACGCCGACGTCCAAAGAGCGCCAAATGGCAGCTCATTGATGCCGGTCGGCACACAGAGATGCTGCGAGGCGGCTGCCGCTTCTCTTTTGGCTTCGTTTTCGGCTTGTCTTCGGCTGCTGACGTTTCACGAGCATCGTGGGAGTGCTTCGAAGAGAGAGCGTCGTTTGTTTTTGGGCGCGCCTTGGCTGTGTGTTGTGTACTCCCCTTAAGAGCGGCGCTATCAGCAGTTGCTGCCGTTTGTCGCTTTGTGGCGCTGTTAACAATTATAACTGTTACTATTAACAGCGAGTGGAGAGTTTTAACATTACCGCCAAGTTTAACAGTCAAGTTTCTCTTACAAGTAAAAAGTTTTCAGAACTATTGTTGAGAATAACTGTTATAGATTATGATGAATTTTCAACAACTAATCTGGGTGCAAATCATTACATCGCTTTTAATCACTATATATATGCACATATATACGAATTACAGCAATCTATCATCTATATATGAAAATAGCAAAATATCAATAAGTCGGTATATCAATATATCAAAATAATATATCAATATATCATAATATCAATGTCAATCAATATTTTCAATATATCAATATATTAATATATCAATATATCAATATATCAATATATCAATATATCAATATATCAATATATCAATAATTCAATAAATCAATAAATCAATATATCAATATATCAATTTATCAATTTATGAATATATCAATATATCAATATATCAATATATCAATATATCAATTTATGAATATATCAATTTATGAATATATCAATATATCAATATATCAATATATCAATATATCAATATATCAATATATCAATATATCAATATGTCAATATATCAATATATCAATATATCAATATATCAATATGTCAATATATCAATATATCAATATATCAATATATCAATATATCAATATATCAATATATCAATATATCAGTATATCAATATATCAATATATCAATCTATCAATCTATCAATATATCAATATATCAATATATCAATATATCAATATATCAATATATCAATATATCAATATATCAATATATCAATATATCAATATATCAATATATCAATATATCAATATATCAATATATCAATATATTAATATATCAATATATCAATACATCAATGTATCAATATGTTGGAGCTGAGTATGTTTGTATGTTGAGCTGAGCTGAAAAAAAAACACATTAAGGTTTAGAAAGCAAGTTTCGTTTTTAAGCTAACAAACATTACTCTGTTTTCTTGTTCTTTCAGTGATGTGTTTATACAAAAGTTCGCCTTAAACCTAAGGATATATGACGATAAAAGAATCGTGAGTGTGAATTTACAGGTGAGTACTTAATTATAAATATATATTTTTCTACTGCGGGTATGCCCTGGCCTTGCCAGCGGTACGTATAAAATAAATCACACAAAGAGCCAAACCTCGTGAAAATCGGCTGAGAATTGACCGAGTTATGAAGTGGGAGATTTCAACTTATGTCTATATAGGATTTTTTGGCGTAAAATTTGTATATGACCAAGAATAATTTTGCCAGATTTGGATGCCAAAATTGACCCGCATTTTCAGTCTAGAGCGGTGGTATTAAATATGAAATACATATATCATACATATATAAATACATATCAAATACATTTTCACAACGATCTTTGAAAATGATT